CGGGGAGGGGAGGCGGGAGTTTTCCACCCGTAGAGCTCGGCCCGCCGTGCGTGAAGGGTGGAGATGGGGGGGCTCTGCCGACATGGCTCTTAAAGGTGGCCTTTTCCAGACTTCTAGTCTTCCAATGCAGTTTGCGTGACGGTGTAATTGTCCCTTAAATCTGGCGCTGTTACACGGGAAGCTGAACTAGTAGCACCGTTAAGAAGGTTTATGTTATTTTTATGTTATCTTATAGGAGACACCTAGCCGAAAAGTTTCTCATCAGGCATATGAATATAGTTGCCGAACACTTTGGGTTTAGTAAAGGAGATTATCTCTTTGAAAGAATCCCACTGGCTTTGGAGATTTTCCTGCTGGAACTCTTTGAGGTCGAACTCTTGAGGGTGCCAGCGAGTTAGACAAACAGCAAAGGATGACCAGTGTTAGCATCGGCGTTTGGTAGGATGGGTGCCTGGCATCTGACTCTGGACCAAGAGCAGATTCTAGATAAGTTTTTGATACGGTTTTAAAATTCCTACTTTTGCTGCAATGCCACTGACGCAATAAAAATATTTAAATGATGCAATATTAGAACTCCCTCTAAAGAAAATAGTCCTCAGGGATGCGCATTAGGAAGCCCATTCATACTCACTGCAATATTGATAAAGTGTCACGGGTTAGAGGCCTGGATCGCGTTGAGGACCAGCTGGGTCATGGCTGAGCTTTGTTCATGCTTTTGGAAGCAAGAGGAGCAGTTGGATTAAATTGAATCTGGGCATTTAATTCAGTGCCTGGGAGGAACTGAATGTTCCCCTGCTGTGGTATTATCATGTCCTCCTTAAGAATCTCTATTTAATTAGGTATGTGAGCTGAAGAGGGGGGTTGTATTGATTATTTGTCCTGAAATGCTCTAGAAGATGGTTTTCTTTACTGCTTGGAATTACTTGCAAGAAAACATGGATGTTATTAAGAAGGAATTATGTGAAGGGTGCTGCACAATAGACACAATTTCTGTTTACTTTCTTGTTTCATATTGAGCTAGTTTCAGTCCACATAAAGAACAACTGTAATTGTAATTAATTTTGAAGATTGGTGAACTAGTTCAGGCTTTAATCAACACTTAATCAGTGCTTGGGGGAGTCGTGTGACGAGGCAGATGAGGTGGTTTGAAATTGATCTGCATAAATACCTTGCATTGTCTTTCAGAGTGGGAAAACTCAAAAAGTAAAGGAGAAAACATAGTGTTAAAATATTTTACATTAGTTGACAATTACATTGAGACCTCACTTGGAGTATTGTGTACAGTTCTGGTGTCCTCTACGTGAGAAGGACATGGAGCTGTTGGAGCAAGTCCAGAGGAGGCCACAATGGTTATCGAGGGCCTGGAGCACCTCCCGTATGAAGACAGGCTGAGAAAGTTGGGGCTGTTCAGCCTGGAGAAGAGAAGCTGCGTGGAGCTCTCATGGCAGCCTTCCAGTATCTGAAGGGGGCCTATAAGGATGCTGGGGAGGTACTCCTTGTTAGGGACTGTAGTGGTAGGACAAGGGGTAACATGTTCGAACTTAAACAGGGGAAGTTTAGATTAGATATAAGGAAGAAGTTCTTCACAGTGAGGGTGCTGAGGCACTGGAATAGGTTGCCCAAGGAAGTTGTGAATGCTCCAGCCCTGGCGGTGTTCAAGGCGGGGTTGGACAGAGCCTTGGGTGACATGGTTTAGTGTGAGGTGTCCCTGCCCATGGCAGGGTGTTGGAACTAGATGATTTTAGGGTCCTTTCCAACCCTAACTATTCTATGATTCTACGTCTTTGTATGTTGGTATACTGTGACTGCTGTTACGAAATAAGAACTGTTTATAACTTCTTTATCAACTTATAAATGTGAAAAAGATATCAGGCAAGTTTAATAGGTTTCATTCTCAAATGTGGTAAAAATACATCTTTATTTTTGTGCTGTTTCTTTTCCAGCCTAGTAATCCGTGGTGAAAAGGATGAACAAGCAGTGTTGTGCAGCAAAGATAAAACCTATGACATGAAAATAGCGGATACCTCAAATATGCTGCTGTTTGTTCCTGGTTGCAAGACTCCAGAACAGCTGAATGCAGATCAAGCATCTTGTAATATTATTCATTCACAGGTGCCTCATTCTGGGCTTTTGTTTGTTTGTTTTAATTCTTAACTTTCTTATTCTCTATAATTTCTTGTATTTTACCCTTCTGAAGCACTTGTTCTCAGTGACTAGATTACCACATTTTGCTGATAAGTTTTGGTAAGTTGTTTTGAATCCAAATGCTATATTAAAATGTTTTAAGAGTTGCTGCTTTTTTTGTAGGTTGCTGGTTTCTCCAATAACTATTGGGAATTAAGGAGATGTCGACCAAAACTGAAGAAACTGAGAAAGCTTTTAATGGAAGATCCCTATGAAGGGCCAGATAGTCAGAAGGATCAGGCTTTGACATTTTCAAAGGTCAGTCAGCTACGTGAATTACCTTCTTGTAATTGTTAACGGCCAAATTAAAGTGAAGTTGCGCTCTTAATTAGAAAAATGCCCTTCCTCCCATGTTTCACAGTGCTGCTTTGAGTTAATTTTTTAAGCCTAAACAAATCGGTAATTATTAGCACTTCTACTGAATAGCAGGTAAGCAATCTTTTTGGGTGTTTAGCACGGAGAGGAAAAGGAAGAACGCTGAAAGAGACTGGGGATTTCCGTTTTCATTTGGAAAGGTTCTTGAAGACAGTCTTTAGAACCTTTTCTAAATTCCTTGGAAGTTTTATATAGCCACTAAGGTATAATGCAGCCTTTCCTTCTTCTTCAGGTATGGATGTATGACATGTCATACAGGTCAGAGGACACCCAATATCCAATCAGTAATTCATGATGCCAAGGAGAAGCAAGGAGTTGCAGAGAATGACAAGAATGATGTGAGGGAGGGAATAAGACTGACACTAGAAGAAGGGAAAACACAAAATCCTGTCCTGCTGCCCTTTTATGTTTCCAGGAAGTTCTTTAGGATCTAAAGAGTAATGCAGAGCTCTGGACTGTGCAGCGTGTGATCTCAGATAAAAGCCTGATAAAAATCCTGAGGTTTCGTTAGTTTTTTTTGCTTTCTTTTGGCTTTAAAAAACAGAAATGATTGCTCCAAAGTATTTTACGGTGTGGCTTGATTGAAGCTGGTACCAACAAACCATCTGTGTTTGGATGTACAAACATGGATGTTACTTTTCTCCCTTCAAAAGAAATGCTGCCTCTTTCTGGGCTATTAACAGACTAATTTCTGATCAGTTTCAGAATCTTTCCTTCAGCACTGCCTTCTCCCATTTACTCTGGTCTAGGCATAGAAGGATATAAAACAGAATAGGGGATGGCAGAGGAATAATATTTATTGCTAATATTGAACAAATATTATAGAAACTTGTTAGTGTCCCCCCAGACGTTAGTGCCTAGTCCTCAAACTAGGCACTGTTTTGAAGGAGAGTGAATTTCCTGTGTCAGCTTACTGGAGAAAACAAGGTAGAGCTGATAAATGCAGACAAATCTTATCTTGCCATTGATGGAACTTTAATCTGAAAGCTGTCCATGGGAAACCTCTCTTTCCTATGGGACTAATTTTCACTGGAATCCTAAACAGTATGTGTGTAGGAAAGATTTCCACTGTTATGTTTGTTTACACTTAATATTCATTGCATGGTGGCAGCTAATAAGCCACCTTTTAATCTGTTTGAAAACAAATGGCTCTCTTGGTGGTTTGCTGCAAGCTTCTCATGGCTTTGAGTACTGTATTGTACACAGAGAACCACAGCAAAAGAGCCATAAGGATCTACCGCTCTGTAAGTACTGTAAGGGAGCCTGTTGCAAAGTGATGTGCTGTAGCAGACTACAGGAAAACGTATAAATGGACAAGTACATAGGATGCACCAAATGCAAATCCTGAATTTTACAGTGAAATGGCAAATGATCACATGGATCTGAGTTAAGGATAAGAAACATACTAAATATGTTATCTAGAAATTGCTGGTGTGGACATGATGCAAGTGAACCCATTCCATTTCATGCTTGCAAGGGTGATGCAGCTGATAAAAGAATCAGAGCAGAGAGCAGTCATTTCTTACAAAAAAAAAACTGTTAAGGGTGCCAGCCAGGTCTCAGAATGGGAACAAATGCCAAGGACTCCTGAGCACGGTCTTCCCTGTGACAGTGTCTAACTCACAAACACACTTACATATTGATCTGGAGATGTGTCTGCTCTCAATTACTAATAGTCTGTAAGTACGGTACAGTATGGCCATCCCTTGCTGAAATGCTGTTGTGAGTTCAGTGCTGCTTAGCCTAATGATGTTTAATAGGAATGGTATTGCAGGAAGCAGAGACCTTCCTGTATTTATTAAACGTTGTTTTTTTTAACATGTGGTTGTTCCAGTGTTGGTTTGTTCCATTTGTGTTCCCATAGTCTAATGGATCTCAGGTACTTAATCCTTTTTTTTTTCCTGTTCTGATAGAACTATTCTTATGCTATAATCAACAAAACTTTAATATTCGAGTTGATTAAAAAGGCTGTAAGGTGAATAAAGGAATTGATGAAGCCTATTTCTTATGGATTTAAGTCTGTTGTTTCTTCCTTTTACTTCACTCCTCATATTACCTTCTGTTTCTCCTATATCTCCTAAAACTTTACCCCACACACTATCCACAACACCCTCTCATCTCTCCAAGTTAACTGTACTGCAAGACAGTGTGTGTATTGTGGCTGGGACTGTGCTACGTGTCTTCTAATTGGTTACCAGACACCAAAACACAACATGTATCTGTTGAGGTCATGCTGGAGGTCATGCCTTCTCATGTGGGAGGAGGCTTTCCCTCAGTAAGGTACTAAGGAGGTACTAAGGCAGAGTTCTGACTTCTATCTAAAAGGGATAAATGGTTTTTGTTTTGCCTTTTCTCTGAATCTCACAGGTTTAAAAAAGTGATTTAGGAAAGACAGAACACATTCACTTTTCATTCTTCCTGGAATACTTTACTTACGATGCCTACTTGTGCTAGTTTGACATGCTGGGAATACAGGTGTATTCTTGTGCATTGAATAACTCTGAGAAAATGTAAGTTACAGGAAAGGTTTCAGAGAGTGGGGTAAACCTTACAAAACTCAAAGTATGCAGGGGGAACATTACTCTTCAATGCATTTAGCATACTTTTTTCTGAAGCAAAGGAGGAATAAGGATAACCTGGTTTATTTCCTTTTATTCCTCTTATTGCAGTATACAACAGAAGACTTGTTAAGTCTGATTCAAGCAAGTGAAGAAGAAATACTGCACCATTTGCAGGTGATAGATGCCTGCAAAATTGAAGGTATTAGTCTTTAAAAGATATTATTGCTTATGAGGAACTAACCCTGCTTTTTTCCCCAAAATATGTGTCTTCTTTTTCTAAGGCCTGTCCCACATCCTTGTCTTTCACGTCAAAAGTCATGTCAAAGCACCAAGGTCTGCTTCCATAGTTCCTATATCCTCCGCTGCTGTGAAGCTGATCAAAAGGATAAAACCAAGCAGGCAGTGACTAGTCTAGCTTTTCCCAGGGTAATTCTTTCTTTGCTGCTACAAACACTGCCATCAGAGTATCCCACCCATAGCACGAATATTTTTTTTTGGCTGCTTGCCCTCTTCATGGATGAAGACTTCTAGACTTTTGGTAGTTCTAGAGATAAAAATAGCTAATCCTTGGGTAACTCCTGCCCTTTCATAGCCCTTTCTTCATCCCAGACTGGGTTTATCTTGGAAGTCTTCCTACCATGTGAGGCAAGGCTAGAGCAAGTGTCTCACCTTGGGACAGGTCTTACTCATCCTCTACTTGGCCAAGTCCAAACCCTCACCTGGAAATAAGGTGACAGTAGTCCTGGAGCCATAGAATAATACAGGGCAGAACTGAGCTCTGGAGGTTATCAGGTCCAAACCTCCGCTTTAGAGGGTGGCTGCACGTGACCTTGGCTCGTCTGTTCTGAGCGTTTCCAGGGGTGGAGATTGCACAACCTTTGTCCAGGCTGTTCCTGTGTTTGACTCTCTGAAAGGGGAAATAAAGTCTCCTAATAACTAGCTGGGATTTCCCTTGTTGCAGCTGGTGCTTTTTGCCTCCTGTCCCATCAGTGAGCACCACTGGAAAGACTTCTGGTCAGTCATCTTTGTACTGTCCCATTAGGTAGGTAAGGATCTCGTGGATGCCTTTCCTTGTCATTTACAGCTGCACAGCACCATTGTACCCCATCTGTGCTTTGTTGCATTTGGATTTCTGTGCACTTGGCTGGAGCCGAGCTGTCACTTGACAGGGCGAGTACAGCCATTTCTGTTCATACAGTTATATGTTAATTCCTAGTTTTTCCAGGTCTGATTCATCTCTGGATGGAATTTGTGGTGTCTCTGTGGCAGTTAATCTACATAAACAGTTATAAGTAATTGAGATGATTTAACTTCTTTTTCCTTTACAATTGCTTTTACTGTTCTGTTCTGTTTCCCAGTTTCAGTCCTCAAAAGGACAGAATGCTGTTGCTGTACTTCGTAAAGGTGTGATCTAAATGTCCAGACTCCTGTAATATATCTACTGGGGAAGAGAATTAAGTGTTAATGTTCTCCTTCTAACACTGATTTGTGGTTTTCTATTTGGCAGGATATTGGAGAATTCTGGAATTTGACTATGAGATGAAACTCTTGAATCATGTGATTCAGCTAATAGACTCAGAGTCCTGGTCTTTAAGTAAGGTTCCTTTACGTACCTGCCTTGAAGAACTTGGATCTCTAGAGCCCACGTAAGCCATGACGTTTAGTACTTAAAATAGTCTGCAGTCATTATTAACTAATTACAATAATTATTGTTTCTTAGAATTACGGTCTTACAACTGTAGATTCCAGCTACAGTTCTTTGCCTCTAAAATATACAAAGGTATTAGTAGCTTAGACAAACCGGTTAATAAACTGCCTGTAGTGTCTATTGGTAATATGTCCACTGATTAATAGTAGAAACATCACTGCTGAACTAAAAATTATGGAAGTAGCATGTACTTAAGATGTAAATTGCTGGCCAGCTTGAACTACTTGTTCAGAAGCTATAGCTAGCCAAATGGTTTAGCTTACCTTGTGTAACGTATGAAATGTGGCATGTTTTCTGGTGTAATACTGAATTCAGATTGTAAGAGTTGAATTTATTGTACTGCTGTTTGGAGTCATGAAATAATTGAAGATTACCATTCAAACAAAGTTTTAAGTTTACAAAAGCCATTTATTTGGCTTTTGGCTCAAAAAGAAATCTTGCTTTAGTATTAGTGTCTGCAGTTAGGCTGTAATTTTATTCCAGAGTTCTAGAAAAATGCCTACTATTCAGTAGGGGATAATTAACTGCCAAATTTGTGACTTGCCAGCTTGCCATATAATCACAGAATAGTTTAGGTTGGAAAAGACCTTTAAGATCATCAAGTCCAGCGGTTAACTGAGCACTGCTAAGTCCACCACTAAACCATGTCCCTAAGTGACACATCTGCACATTTTTTAAATACCTCCAGGGATGGTGACTCCACCATTGCCCTGAGCAGCCTGTTCCAATGCTTGACAACCCCTCTAATGGAAAAAAACCTCCCTAATATCCAATCTAAACCTCCCCTCGCACAACTTAAGGCCATTTCCTCTTGTCCTATTGCTTTTTACTTTGGCGAAGAGACCGACCCCTAGCTCGTGACCAACCTCCTTTCAGGTAGTTGTACAGAGCAGTAAGGTCTCTCCTCAGCCTTCTCTTCTCCAGACTAAACCCCCCAGGTCCCTCAGCCGTTCCTCATCACACTTGGGCTCCAGAGCCTTCACCAGCTCCGTTGCCCTTCTCTGGCCCCGCTCCAGCACCTCAATGTCTCTTTTGTAGTGAGGGGCCCGGAACTGAACACAGGATTCGAGGTGCGGCCTCACCAGTGCCCAGTACAGGGGGATGATCACTGCCCCGGCCCTGCTGGACGTGCTATTGCTGAAACAATTCTTTCTATTTGCTAAGAAGTGACACTGCAAGAGTCCCTCTTCCTTTATCTTTACACCTTCTAGTCTTTGTTTGTTATAACTAGAAAATGGAAGAGACCTTTGATGATGGCACACAGAATTAACTCCTATCTGTCCTTTTTGTCCCCTTTTCTAAGTTTTTATGAATTTGTTCATTTCAGCCATGAAGGTGTGACACATCCTCCATTCTCTTTGACTTTTTTTTATCTCTTACATCTGTTCCTTCATTCTTTTGGTAACTGTTTCTGTAGTGTCTGATGAACAGTTTTAAAACTTGATTTCTGATTTTTTTTTTTTATTTACTTTTTTTTTTCCCTAGAGAGATGATAGAACACATTCTTCTAAGCTATGGAAGAAAATGTTTTGATGATGGTAAGTTTGGGAAAGCATGTGTATTTTAATTTTGCATAAAGGAAATAGTTATTGATGAGTAAATGCAGATTTTGTGATGATGGCCCAAACAAATGAATTTGCTACAATGCCAATAAAAGGAGGGGGAAAACAGTGAGCTAAAACTAACTAAAATTGTTAGAGAACATTTCATAGGAAAGAGAATTATTGAACTGTGTGAGACACTAGGGAAAAATTAGGAACTAACAGAGGTACCAGGAGTGATTTATTGGGTGTCTACAAGCCATAATTTTGTAACTAAATACAGATGACCAGTAAAATTTAGGTGGAATCTCTCTTTAGATACTGTAGGAGGTCTCAGGTGTTTAAGCAATTAAACTAATACAAATTGGGCTATTGTAAACAGTGAATGGCATATGGATCTCCCTGAATTCAGCCTGCCTGAAGCAGACATCTGCCTTTGGTCCTTTGAACTGCACCACAAGACCCACTGATTGTATTGATTAAATCTCCACTGCCCATAGACAATATAGACAGAATGTTTATGTGCTTTAATCCGAATTCTTCCCCAGAGTCGCTTTCATCTCACCTTTGTCTATAGTAGGAGTTGCACTCAGCCTTTCAGGACAAAAGAAAGTAGTTGGAGTGACACAAATTATCATCTTAGTCTATTCAGACAGGTTGTACAAGAAACAAGGTTGTAGGAAGTCCAGATGATGAAAAAATCAAAGGAAGTGTTTATGCCTGACATTGTTCTGAGAATTTTAGCCAAGTCAGTGTGAAACAAAATATAATGAGTTGATGAAGGGAATAATGAGAATTTAAAGGTGATTAAGGACATGAAAGTTTTGTTTAATTGTTCAACTACAGGCAGCAAACGTTTTTTTTTAATACAAGCCATTCTGAAATAGGAATGAAAGTTGTAGGAAAAAGTGTTACTGTGAAAGGAGAAAAGATGGAGGGCAAATACATTTATTGACATGAATTAATACTTGCAGCTGGGGCAGTGCTGCACACATGGAATATTTTGCACTTGAGAACGACAAGATACCATCATTTGTCCAAAGTAACATTGAGTCAGATTCTCACTGAGGAAAATGAAAAACAGTGTAGTTGGTTTGTAGAAGAGCAGAATGGAAATATGAGGCTGTTCTCTGTTCTTTTATCAAAAAGCAAGAACCTGGGATAACCTGGTTTTTGTTTCTCAGCAGGGGAGGTTTACTTTGAGATGCGTGAAGATAAAATATGCAGAGCTATAGCACAAATGCTTTTGCAAAATGCAGTTAAATTCAATTTATCAGAGTTTCAAGAAGTCTGGCAACAAAGTGTCCCTGAAGGGATGACAGCAAAGCTTGATCAGCTTAAGGTAAAAACATAAAGAAGTATGGATTCTTTCACAAGTAGGTTGTTAACTGCCGTGTGTCATACATACATTTTATCGATTAATGGTTGTTGATGTGTTATTTCTGTCAGCTTTTGAGTTTAAGTACTTATACACATCCTTTGTGAGCGCCACTAGTCTGGAATCATGACAACTGAGCTTTCTGTAAGTCTGGCATGGTTCACTGTTTGAAGGAAAGTTGCAGCTGTTGATACCTGAAAATGCAACTAGAACAGAAACTGAAGCTATTGTCAAGCAGATTGGAGTGACAGCCAGCAGAGTAGCAAGCACTGCGGAAATGCTTTTGCTCAAAGGAAGCACAGAGGTGTTGGAAGTCAGTGGATTTTCCCCTCCCTTCTTGCCATACAGGAAATGATAAACACTGCCTGTAGAACAGCACCTTTATGATACTTTTCCACTTTGCTTCTCGTAGTGCAGTTTTAGAAGGCTTTGGATGTTTAAGGGCAACTTATACAGATTACTGCCAGGAAGAAGTAAGTTTGTTTTGTCTTTACTTAATGTTTCCTCTCTGATCCACAGGGCTTGGCTCTTGTGGATAGAAGCTCAAGACCAGAAACCATCTTTCTGCTAAAAGTAGAAGACTTACCTGAAGGCAATCAGGAAAGATTCAACAGCTTATTCAGCATACGGGAAAAGTGGACAGAACCAGATATTACCCCTTATATACAGTAAGGATTTATTTCTCTTTATTGAAAGTACTGTTATATTCTTCCCTTTCTGCATAGCTGACATAAGCTATGATTGCCTCAGATACTGTACTTCCCATTGAAAATGAATATGGATTCTGTATGAGTGGAATCCCTACCCCCTGGGAACTGTAGCTATTTCTTTTTGGATTTAAACTTGTGTAAAAAGCTGATTCTACTGTCGGAGGCAGATCCTATTGATTGAGGCACACTCAAAGGATAAATCTCCTCACATCTATAAACAATCTCCAGATTTACAACACGAGAACTATAGAGCAGTACTGCTTCCTGTGCTGCGTCCTTCCTTCTTTTAACACTCATGCTCCAGTGCTGCCTGGAATACTCAGTCAAGATACACATGAGCAGATCTAGATGGTAACCCAGAAGTAACTGCATCAGACTCCTATGAGTGGCTCTAAATTTACTCTAATGTAATTAAGTAGTTCAAAGCTAACTGTTTTGCTAGATTGAAAACCCTTTAGAGAACAGTAATAATAAAAACCAACTAACTTTCCTTAAAAAACATAATCCTTGTTTCTGGAGTAAAATAATATAGTTTTGCCAGCTGCTTAAATGTCAAAGCCAAGTTCTAAACTTGAGGTAATTTGAAGCATTATGTGACAGTTACAGTATCTTTATTTTTCTCCCAGTGTCCTGATCCAGTTTATTGTTATATTTACAAGTATTTCCCGGATTCATTTTGTATGAGAGCATCTCTAATGCCGATGTCATCTGCTTTATTTCCCCTATAGAGACTTATGTGCAGAGAAGCAGACTGTTGGGGCTCTTCTGACAAAATACGCTCGCTCCTCAATGCAGAATGGTGTTAAAGTTTATAATTCTAGAAGACCTATCTCCCGACAAGTACTGTTTTAAGAACTGAGAATACTGAATGGAGTAACAGTGAATGGTACATGTTGCTGCCTTCTGGAGAGAGGAGTTGTCAACTGATACACAGCGTTCTTGAGTTTAAGCAGCTAAGCTTCTTGAATGAATTCTGCTTTCCGCTCAGCGACATAGAATGTGAGGGCATTTGCCTCTTCTAAGAAACTCCAGTGTCAGCAGCCTTTGCCTTTTCCTTCCCTTGTCTCCCCTTCTGTGTCCTTTCTGTCTGTAGTTACGCCAGGAATTGAGCTACTTCTTGAATACACTTTAGTTGTCTATCCATAAACTGAAGTCTGACATTAAAAATTAAAACCTCCTTGATGATAATTGAATCAATTGAATTGATTCCAACAGCAAATGAGAATGCTTAAGCGTTTTGCCCATTAGTCAGCATTCCTACAGATTAAGATTGCATTGCAGTGTTGACATGTTGAATACTGCAGACCTGGACAAGCTCGTGAACAAATTATTCCTGAGACTGCACTTATCTTAATTTTGGAAGGTGGTTCTTTTTATGGTCATGTCTGTGAGCAACATTGGCACGAGCTCTTGGCACTTTAACACTTGGCCGAATTGCCTTTTACATATTGCAGAAAACCAAATTGCAATCAAGAGTGAAGGTGTGAGAGAACAGCTGGATATCTTATAGAATCATAGAATAGTTAGGTTTGGAAAGGCCCTTAAGATCATCTAGTCCCAACCCCCCTGCCATGGGCAGGGACACCACACGCTAAACTATGTCGCCCAAGGCTCTGTCCAGCCTGGCCTTGAACACCTCCAGGGCTGAAGCATTCGCCACTTCCTTGGGCACCCCACTGCAGTGCCTCACCACCCTCACTGTGAAGAACTTCTTTCTTATATCTAACCTGACCTTCCCCTGTTTAAGTTTTAAGCCATCACCCCTTGTCCTACCACCGCAGTCCCTAATGAAGAGTCCCTCCCCAGCATCCTTGTAGGCCCCCTTCAGATACTGGAAGGCTGCTATGAGGTCTCCACGCAGCTTCTCTTCTCCAGGCTGAACAGCCCCAACTTTCTCAGCCTGTCTTCATACGGGAGGTGCTCCAGCCCTCTTATCATCTTGCATTAACAGCTCCATGTCCTTTTTATGTTGAGGACACCAGAACTGGACACAATACTCCAAGTGAGGCCTCATCTTGCTATGAGCTTCCTATGAACTGCCATTAGACTGTAGCTGAGGTAAAATTAGTTTTACAGAAGACTACCTTTGTATTTTAATGAGCACTTACAAAACTTCGTATTAGGATTTTTTTACTTCAGATTTTCCTGTGACAAATAACTGCACATAGAAATTGTGCCTTGAAAACTTATGGTGGAATATTACTGTGTAATGAAATGGGATTCTTTTTTATGATTCTGTCATTAAATGGAGTGCCTTGTAATCCTCAAAAGGGATTGTTTGCATGTCAGTGAGCCGGAGTTTAAGATTAGACATTTTTAATATATAGTTTTAAAACTTAGCAATTGTAGGGGGCTTTTATACAAAAAGCATTTGCTCTATCGAAGCCGCATGTAAGGCAGCAAAAGCCTTGGAGCTGCTGGGATACCCAATGCGCGGTGAGGGGACGCACTGAGGGGTAGGACCCCCGCGAGCCCGTGCTGGGTGCGAGCCTCGGCCCTGAGC